GGGAATAGGTCAGGCCGACCTACATGGGCCTATGACCTGACCTACATAAAGTCTGGCCTGGTCTGGCCTATTTAATAAAAAGGTTAGACTCAGGCTTTTTTAAAAGTTTATTAAATTAAATAGGTCAGGCTTAGACTTATTAAAAAACCTTATAAGCCTGATATGCCGACCTATATATATATATATATATATATATATACTTATATTTTTTTTTGGGTACCAATATAAATGAGCAAATACTAATTGAATCAAATACAAGGTAGTGACTAAAATGAAATAATTACACATATCGTGACCAAAGTCAATCATAAACAAAAATGGTATAACATGTAAACTGGTGACTCAAATATAAATATGGAAAGATAAAGGCTCAAAACAGAATAATGTAAACTTCATTTCAATGCCCGATTCGTGAGATTATAAAGGATCAAGGCCCTAATTGGAGATTTGACCCTAAAACCGATGACTATAACAGAAATAAGCTGCTAAACTAGAGGGGCTTAGTAAGTAAGTAACCCTAAGGGGGTGTTTGGTTCAAGGAATGTGGGATTCCCATGAGATGGGAATCCCACATTCCCATGGGATGAGAATCCCACATTCCCATGTTTGGTTGGCCGGGAATCTCATTCCCGGTAATGTTTTATTACCAATAGTAGATTTTTTGGGGTATATTACCGGGAATGTCATTACCTCACTTCCCTTAGGTATTGTAACATTACCGGCGTTTTGGACTAAAATGCCCTTAAATTTTTTATTTTTATTTTTCAAAAATATCCTTCTTCTGTCATTGAATAATAAAAATTCTACGAAGGTTAAATTACAAATTTATCCTTAAATTATTTTAGATTTACAAAAAAAGTCTATAATTAAAATTTTATATGAAGTTTAGGGGTTAAATTTTTTTTACCCTTTCATTAAACATTTTTTATATTTTTTAATTTTGTAAAAAATTATATAAATATTATGAATTTAATTTTTTAAAGAAAATGTATAAATATTTTACAATTTGTAATATTATACAAATATATAATAAGGACAATTTGGTCAAATATACATTCCAATAATCTTTTATTCCTTTGACCAAACACGGTAATCTTACATTCCTGCTAAACCAACCAAACACAAAATACAACATTCTCAGTAATTCTATTCCCTGGTAATCTTTTATTCTCACTGGTCATCTTACATTCAGTAACCCTAAATCTTTAAACTAAACCCCCGTCTCTTTCTCTTCGTTCTCTCCTTTCTACCCAAATGCAGCGACCGACCACTCTCAAGCCAAGGTTAAACGCGCCGGCCTCTTTGCTTCGATTGGCCATCCCGAACCGACCGGGGAGCCGAACCAGTCCTAATCAAGGCCAAACCGAGACCCCAACTAGCCCCTTTTGTCTTCTTCCTTACTCAACTTAGAACCGAAAAGCCGAACCAGTCCTCCAACAAAAGGTAACCACTCCTCCTTACTTTCTATATTTTGTTTTTTTTTTTAAATCTGCTTGGAATTGAACGAAAGTAAGAAAGAATAGAGAAGAAAAACTTTGCTTGCTTAGTTGCTTTGTTATATTAATAACGTGTTAAAAATGAGGAGAGAGTACAACCGTTTGTTTTTTTAGTTCGAATCGGGGGCCTCTCTTACATTTTTTGAATCGGTGTGAGAAAAATGGTAAATGCTGAGAAATTTTATTGATTTATCCATGCGTTCGGTGATGCCAAAGCATGGGCAGGGGATGGGCGCTGTTGTCGGGCATGGTGTGGCGTGTGGAACAACAAAGTATGGGAGCTGTTGTCGGGAAGGGTGCTTGCGTGGGGAACAGTCAGCAAGGTATGGTCAAAAATTGGTCCTAACCAAATCTCACGCAGTTTCACTTTAACATAGTTTCAAAAATTGTACCTAAACCCAATTCAATAATTCTTGTTGTTAAATTCATTAACCGAGATAATAAACCAAACTAAATTATTATTTCGATTAGCGTATCATTGTCAGTAAAACAATGAGTTATTTGTTTCTCTTTTCACACTGGAATATATTTGTTAATGCCTGGTTTCAACAATCGTGCTTATTGGAATTACAAAAAGAATGTGTGTGAAAACTAATGATGAGGAATATTTATTAATGCCTGGTTTCAACAATCGTGCTTATTGGAATTATCAATTCTTATTGGAATTACGTATGTAACCTGTGTAAATGACAAGTTTTTCTTTATCAGTTTTCTTTCTGAATCTGGGGTTGTTAGGTGTAGATGCATAAAGTTGCCGGTTTTTCCACCTTTATCTCTGTGTTTTAGGGTTTTAACTTTCAATGGCATTCTTTTAGTGGAAACAAATTTTGGGTTTTGCTATTTGAGTTTTTTTTTTGCTTCTGCAATTCGTGGTTTCTGAAAATGGGGCATTCTGCAGCAGTGTGGGATCATAAGGCAGCAACTGAGATTACAAAGGATTGTGATGGGTTCTATAAGGTTCTTCTTAAGAACCATAGAGGTGCTTCAGCAAAGGTGAGATTTCGCATTTGGTATTGAAATCAATAATGTTAATTTTCATTTGTTTTGGTGGAAATTACAGAACAATTTCGCGTTGATTTTGTTTGTTAATAGGTTAGCTTACATGGAGGACTGGTAACTTCCTGGAGAAATGAACAAGGGGAAGAGCTTCTGTTTACTAGTAGCAAAGTAAGCGATTCCAGTTCATCTCTTTGAATATTTATGGCCTTTTCAAGATAGATTTTTTGATGTGGCTGAAGATTATCGAGTATTTCGAGAATTTTAGGCGATCTTTAAGCCAAAGGTTAATATTACTTATTATAATTTTTATAAGTAATATTTAATCATTTTTTTAGCAGCTTGTTCATTTATTTATGTAGTGTTTTTCAGTCCAGTAACTAACATTTATGTATTTTTCTTCTTATTTTGAAGGCTAAAAAAGAAGAGATACAAATCACATTGAAGTTTTGATTGTCTTGTGCTGCATTGAAATACTTATGGTGATTGTGTATGATCTGGAGGAACTAACGATGAAATGTCGTTACTATTAATTTTATTGGTAGATATTTTATGTACCAGTTCTGTTCAAATAGAATGGAGATGTAGGCTTTATTTTTTGTTTGTAATAGTTAATATGTTGGTTTGATAGACTTGGATTAAAAATTAATGTGAAGGTGTGTTATTTTTTTTTTTGGGTAAAAATAACTATCAAATGAATATTAAAGGTTTAATGTGAAGAAGGTTTTTAAACAGGCTATCAGGCTAGGCCAAAATAAAAGCCTTTGATAGATTACATGTTAAGATCATGTCTAAAAAATTCATCGTAGGCCAGACTCAGGTCTTTTAAAGCCAAGCTTGGTCCGACTTATTCCCATCACTAGTTAAAACCCTAACTTTTGGGTGATTTGGATCGTTGGATGGGTCCATATTCAAAGGTTGTAGATTGAATGCAGCTAAAGTTGAGATGAAACTCTAATCGGGTTTGGGTCAGTTGTAACCGAGTCTGAACCGATTGGTCCATTGCAGCGGGCTTGTTTCTTGGTGGGCTGGCAGTTAGATGGGCTTGGGTCCTATTGTAGTTGGGTCCTTGTAATTTGGGCCTCAATTTTTTAGCATACAAAAATATAAATTAAAATAATAATAATAATAATAATAATAAATAAATGAAATAAATCAAACGAAAATGAGTGTCAACAACCAGGAGACATGGTGGGTTGGTAAAGCTTCTTTGATAGTGGAATCTGATTCTAGATTAGCCTTAAACTTGATTCAAAATGTTAGTCAAAGACCATGGAATATTTTATGGGCTTTTTTGTGAATTTTGATTTCACTGTAAGAAAGTTCGGTTGTATTCAGTTCTCACATGTCCTTAAGATTTAACAATGTTTTAGCTATGAAGCTCGCAAGGATGGGGAACGGAGATCGAAGTTGTTTAAAGCTTGGTGGTGAGTAAGTAGCCCGATTGTGTACTGCTGGCTTGTGTGATTATTTGGTGTTTTCTTATTTTGGTTTTAGTGGTTGGGTTTAGTTTTCCCTTTAAGAGCAATGCATTAGGTGATGCTTAGTAGCTTTTGTTTATCAGTAGGTGTACTCCTTTCTCGTTCGGCCGGTGTGCTTCTGTTTTGTTTTAGGTTGATTTTAGGAGGTTCTCCTATAGGTGGTTTATTGCCTTTGGTTTTTGTTTTTTCTGTTGCCGGAGAGTTTGTACTCTTTTCTTCCATTTAAGCTTATGAAGATTTTTAAGGAGTCGTTCTCTTTCAACAACAGCTTTATGATTTAATAAAATCATTTTGTTGAAAAAAAAATCTACACAAACATAACAAATGAACATAATCGAACACAATAAATGAACGTAAACAACAACAATAACCACATAAAATTTATTATTCATTAATATAACCTACAACTTCAGAGTTAAAATTATTTAAGTTTTAAATTAGTATGATTTATATTTTCTTTAATTGATTTAAGTTTTAAAGTTATTTGGATTTTAAAATATAAATGATTGGGCTTTAATATTTTAGATGACTATGGAGATTGGGCTGAATATAAACGAACGAACATATACGGACATAAACGAACGAACTTAAATGAACATATACGAACATAAATGAATGAACATAAACGAACGGATTATCGAACGTATGAGACATTTATTCATGTTTGTTCATTTAATTAAACGAATATAAAATCTTATTCGTGGTCTTTCGTTTAATAAATAAACGAACTTCCCGCTGAATGTTCGGTTCGTTTACAGCACTATTTATAAGTTGTCATGAATGCTTTATTACGAGAAGGATGAATCTGATGCAAATTGATAAGGGAAATCTAAAGGGGAGTGCATTGTCGTTGCGGCTAAGAGGGAGTAAATCTCATTTGTCAATGCAAGTGAAAAACTATTTTATATAAAGAAATTTACAAAACTTTATTAATAATTAATCAGCGCTTAATAGATGAAACCAACCAACCATCCCGAAAGATGTAGTGGTTGAGAAACATGGGAGAAATGCAACTGAAAAGAGAAATATTACAACAAAATAATAAATCAAACAAGCTAATTAACCACACCACACTTATTTCTTGCTAAACAAACAACAGCAGCTGATGAGATTGTCGAGTTCATTTACTTCCCCACGTTCAGTTTGGCTCTCGCATGTCCTTCGTTGATCTGGAACTGCTCCCCCAGACCGAACTGAGCCATCAACAACCAAAAGAAAGTGATCAGCTGCCCACCTTTGCTTACCTCCGCAGCATGTGTATTTGCTCGGCAATGACTCGCCGCATACGACACTAATTCCACCCACACTCTGCTCATTATCATCCATTTTTTCTCGGGATCATCTTCCCTTTCCAGCTCTTTGGCCAGTATACTAGCACTGAACAACACCGATTTACTTCGGTCTCCCTTCACTTCCTCCGGTCCGACATCCGTATTCACCGACAATATCTGTTCGCAAGCCTTCTTGTCTTCATTCGGACGTAAACTCCGACTCTTGAAGAATCTTTTGGCCTCTTCACATGTGTCTCCAAATCTTATCTTCGCGATACCGGCCACGGCAGACATCATGGTTGGCTGAAATACTAGAAGATATAGCATGTAATCCGATAGAGTTTTGCTGAAATGCCGAAGTTTAACCCTGTAACCACCATTTTTCTTTTCAGCGCTGTTATCACCGTTTTCCTTTTCAGCGTGGTAGCATAGATCGGTGGCAATGTGCCACAAGAGGATGCTTTCATCATACGGAACATCACTCACGTACTTGAGTAAGTTGTTATGATCACCGTCCGAATCCGTCAAGGCCCAATCGCCTCTAGCCGACGATATCCGCTTTGCCGTTTCCGGAGTATCCGCAAACTCGGATTTCTTCTTTAGCTCCTCGAAGATGAATTCCCATAGATCCTTAGTGAATGGCTCACGGGACACGAACAAAAACTCATCCACAGTATCCTCCATGAAAAGTCTCAAGAACATGATGAAGGGCTGACGGAGAATTTTTAACTTTTCTTTGATATCCCCTAAGTTTTTACCAATGACTTCGCAGATTTTGGTAAGACAATGAAAAACATTTTTGAGCCCCAACAAATCAAATATATACTCACACACGATTCGACTCAAACTTGGGAATTCATGGATGCTTTCCTTTTTGCTTTCGAGACAATACCTTATTAAGTTGTGAGATGAGATGGATCCGGACCACCTTCGGAACGCAAGGGGAGTGGCCAACACATGTTGCCGGCAACCCGACGTACATTTACACGGATACCACCATGGTTTCTTGAGGGCAAGGAAAGTTTTGAAGACGAATGCCGCTGGCAAAGCTTTAGGACTAGGACGTTCAGGGTTCTTTATTTGAGTAAAAGTCCTGTCCGAGAAAATGATGGTGAGGAGGGCTATTACATCAAGGGCAATGGCACCAAGGAGCAAAGTGTAGGTGATTCCAACATCGACTCCACGGAAGTCATCTTTTGTTTTGAAATAGAAGAGTCCAAGTGTTGCCAAAGTGAACCCAAAAGCAAGGAACCTACTAGAAAATCCAAGCCCAGAATACACAACTTCTAGCTTGGTATAGAGACTACCATAAATGAAGTTGAGCTCGACCTCGATTACCCTAAGAGCATCTTCAGCGGATCTCCTGGTGAAGAAGTCGCGACTCTCGTCGCGCTCACGGAAGCTGAAGATGAGATCGACGATGAGTCCCCTGAATGTCCGGAAGAAGTGATAAGCATAGTGCACTACTTCCAAATGATTCAAGTCACCCTCCTTTGGTGGAGTGTCAGAAGCCCTGGTCTCTTTGTCAGGCTCTGGTGTCATAGTAATCGTCGTCGGAAGCTCTGCCGATCTCTTGAACGCGTATTCCTCCATGAGCTTCGCGTAATTAGGACCAGGATCCGGTTTCTTAAGCATCGAATCACGAAATTTGTCCAAGCTCGCACGGTACAAAGCCAGAGTCCGCTCCCCGTACTTGATGATCCCCGCAAAAAACATGAGCACCGTGGGGAACATTAACTTGTGATTGGGAAGTGACTGGAAGAAGACATAGATAACAGCACCAGCTTGAAAAACAAGGCCGAGCAGATGCCTTTGCCAAAGCTGATTATCTTCGAGAGCAAAAGCAGTGATGGTGTCGGGGCCACCGAGGTGCAACAAGAGGAATGGCGCCCAGAATGCTAGCAGATCACCGTTCTGCGTCAGCTTTGGATCGGAGTTTTTATCAGGGTTGCGTTGGCTGTTGGAGATGAGACCGACGGCAAAATTGGCGGCTGCGTCGGCCAGCAAGTATGCCAGCCAAATGAGGGTGATGACGAGTTTCTTCCTGGCGGATTTTCGGATTGGGGCTACGAAAATCAATATGACCTGCAACCAGAGACTGAACAAAATAGAACCCCGGATGTTCCATTTGTCCCATAGCAATTTGATATTGAAAGGGATGCTTAGACTGAACTTGAACATTTTCTTCCCTCTGCACTCTTGTTAATTGCTCACACCATTTCCAGTACCAAACTCTTTACACAAATATAAAAATTCTTTCGTAACACTTACAAAAGGTTTAAGTGCTTAGCTATTTCACCTTTCGTCACTCGTTTCCCTCAACATCTTTGCTTTAACATTTACGTTATAAGTTGTCGCTGTTATAACACATTGATGGTTTAGTTATTTTATTATTAAAAGTTATAAAATAATTATTTTTAATTTTATAATATTATTCAATTGAGTTTATGCTTGTTAAAAGTTACAAAATTATCATTCAATTATTCATATGTTCTAAATTCATCATTTTTCGTTAAAAATTTGATGATCATTCGAGTTTGATGTTAACTTACTGACTAAAATATGATAAACTCATATTTCAATGATGTCCACTGGCACCGTTGTTTTTTCAAACATTGCTTGGACGACATAATATTTCAAGCACCAACTTGACGTCATAAAATAAACGGAGAATCAATCCACAAAATATAGCTCAAACGGTTACGAGATTAAATTTTATTATAACACCCAATAGCCATATGAATATTTTATAGCTTTTAACATTAGAAGGATTCAAGAAAACAAAAACCATTTACAAGATGGCATGAATCCCTAACAATAGATACCCATCAGGCATTAGATTCGATAAGAACTCAACACATGTTTCTCAAGATGTGGATGAAAAGCTTGTAATACTTGGCCGTGATTCTTGACAAAGAACAAACTTAGTTATGTCTATCAAGTAAGGAATTTACAAAATATCAACGTAGCTTTTATCCGCAATGAGACTGACTGGGTCGTTTTTGCACTTTTTGTTCTTCTTCCTACAAGCTTTGCCAGACGAATGATTTCTGCCCCTTTATGCTTTGTTTCTTGGAACTTCAGTCTAGTTGGGGAGTTATGCGGTGCAACGCCTAAAAAACGGCCACGTGGCTTAATTTAGTACTAAAATACTACTTGTGATACCATTCTTGTTATTTTAATGAATAAAATAATCTATCCAAATCCTTAAGGGTGTTTGATTAAGGTAATATGAGATTACCGGAGAAATGAAATGTCATTCTCCCGTTTAGTTGGTCAGTAATCATAGTCCCCGAAAATCTTTTATTTCCAACAATGGTATTTTTGGGTATATTATCGGGAATGTGATTACCTCCCTTCCCTTAGGTAATGTTTGATTACCGGAGTTTTGGACTAAAATGCTCAAACGAATCAAAGGTACAACCTGGTCTTCTAACAAATGCTAGGTTGGATTGCATCATGCCCTTAAATTGTTTTTCAAAAATATCCTTCTTCTGTCGTTGAATAATAAAAATTCTACGAAGGTTAAATTATAAATTTATCCTTAAACTATTTTAGATTTACCAAAAAAATCTATAATTAGAATTTTATATGAAGTTCAGGGTTTAAAATAAAATTTTACCATTTCATTAAACCTTTTTATTTTTTCAATTTTGTAAAAAAAACTATATAAATTTATGAATTTAAAATTTTTAAAGAAAATATATAAATTAATTATAGTAATATTATAGTAGAATTCAACTTGTTAAAAAATAAATATATAATAAGGACAATTTGGTAAAATATGATTTCAATAATATTTTATTTATTTAACCAAGTAAAATTACGTTCCTGCTAAACGAACCAAACACAAAATACAACATTCCCAGTAATCTTATTCTCGCCGATAATCCTATTTTCACTGGTAATCTTACATTTCGTGAACTAAACGTACCCTAACTACATATGATTTTATTTTACGTGTTTGGATTCATTAAAAAGAATTATTCACATTACACATCTCAAATTATGTCTTTTATTTTAAATTAATCTTTACAATTTTGAATATTATGATCTCATCTATAAACTATGGTTTTCATATTAAATTAATCCCTAAACTTTTAAAATTTTCAAATGTATCCCTAAACTATGACCCTCGTTCTATATTAGCCCTCAAAAGCCTTTAAATGATTTTGGGAACATTACTTGTGTATTATACCTCTCAAACGACACAATAACGGAGTCTGGGTAGGGGTGCACAAAAAATCCGAATATCCAATTTTGCGAAAAAAATATCCGAAACCGGATTTGGGAAAAATCGGTTTTTTTTACTGGATCGGATTTTTTTAAACCGGTTATTTTAACCGGTTTGGAGAAAAAACCTAGACCTATTTTTTTACCGGATAAAAAACCGGTTTGAAAAAAACCGGTTTTTATCCGAAAAAAAACCGGTCTGGGTTTAAAAAACTAGCCGTTAATATAGCCGTTGGGGGGGTTTTGTGACCGTTTTTTCTTTAAAAAAATTACTATTTTACCACCCTAAACATGTATAAATAGGTTGGGGATGTATTTGGTTGATTACAACTTTCTCAAATCTTATTACACAACACCTAAACATCTCTCAAATCTTATTTTTGTAATTTTTTGTTCATCATGAGTAACACGGCTGAATCTTCCGTCGGGGGAAACCTTGAAGTCGTGAGAGTGATCGAACACACTCGAAACAAAGATATTTGGGATCACTACGATTTATGTGAGATGTCAAATGGCTCGAGGAGGACGCGTTGTAAACTTTGTCTAAAGTTTCTTGCATCGGAAGGACAACGTTGAAGAACCATTTAACAAAATCATGCAAGGCACTTCGCTCAAGATCGGATCCTAGTCAATCGAATCTTACACCGCAAGGTGGTGTTTTTGTTTACGACAACGAAAAATTACGAGAAGTGTTTACAAAGTTCGTGATTACAAAAGCATTGCCGTTCGACCACTTTGATGATGAAGATTTCACGACAACAATTCAACAACTAATGCAACCACGTTATACTCAAGTAAGTCGTACTACCCTTAGAAGAGATGCTATAAAAATGTGGCGTACGGCGAGAGAAAAAATGATTTTAGGATTCCAAGAACACCGTTATGGTGTGTCGCTTACATGTGACGTTTGGAGTTCTCCTCATAATACCGGAAATTCTTTTTTAGCCGTTACGTCACATTGGTTAGATCAAGATAATTGGCAAATGATGAAAAGAACAATCGCGTTTGAATTATTCGGTGAGCCGCATACCGGTGCTAATTTATTTACACTTTTAAAAAGGGTAATTTGTCTTTATAAATTAGAAAATAAAGTTTTTTTCTATATCCTTTGATAATGCATCGAATAATACAAACGCGGTTCCAAGATTGAAAATATTACTTTCACCGATTTTAGACGGTGCGTTTTTTCATACCCGTTGCGTTGCACACATAATTAATTTATCCGTGCAAGCCGGTTTGGAGGTTATTAAGCCGATTAGATTAGAATTTAAAACAATGATAAAATCGGTTCTTTGTAACAACAACAAAAGACTAAATGATTATAAACAATTTTGTAAGTCCGTTAATAAAAAAAGCTTTGGGTCCTAATTTGGATTGTTCAACTCGTTGGAACTCAACTTGGATGATGATGCATACTACCTTAAGGCAAAGGGAAAATTGCAAACATTTCACGATCGGCTTTTCGAGAGGGGTCATGTGCCAAACATTTATCCGGATTCGAGTTGGGAAACTATAGTCAAAATAACCGATTTGCTTGGGGTTTTTTAAAAATGCAACAACTTTTTTATCTGGTGTTTATTACCCTACTAGCCCGTTGGTTCTTAATCAAATATTTTTGTTGGCTACCCGACTAAATGACTTTGAATTTGAAACCGAAGTTTTTCAAGAAATTGACTCTGCAATGAAGGAAAAACTTTTAAAATATTTTAAGGAGATTCCCCCATTTTTACTCGTGCCGCCGCTTTAAACCCAACGTTAAATGTTGGCGGGGTTGAAACACTAATTGAACAAATTGCGTTTGCTTTTAATCTAACCGATGATGAACCCAACTTTGTCCAAAGCCAAATAAATTATTTTAACAAATATTTTCGAGACATGTTTGCAATTTATTTAACTAAATACGGATCAAGTAGTGTAATACACGATCAAATGAGAATGAATGCGGAATCATCTAGTAGACGTCCAAGTAACATAAATTTGAATCTTTTTAACACTCTTGTAAATTCCCAATCCAAACGATCACGTACTACCACCCCAAGTAGCGAGTTGGGAAATTATATGTCATGCGATTTTCTATCAAAAATGACATTTGAAGAGTTTGAAAGTTTGGATATTTTGGCTTGGTGGAAAGAAAAGGAAGCACAATTTCCGATTCTAGCCGCCATGGCCGTGATTTACTAACCGTCCAAGCTTCTACGGTAGCTTCGGAATCCGCTTTTTCTGTTAGTGGCAGGGTTATATCGCAACGGAGATCAAGACTAAGTCCCGAGTCGGTGGAAGTATGCATTTGTTTAAAGGATTATTTGGATGGAGCGGCTCGTAAGCAACATATCACCACCCTAGAAGATGCAATTGATGCCGATTTGGAAGAAAACTTACACATTGAAGAAGTCGAACTTGGAATATCCCCTCCAAACGAAGAAGGCGAAGATGATGAAGAAGAGATGGCAATGTAGTTTATTTTTAAACTTTATTTCAATTATCGTAAACTTTGTTTCAATTATCGAACTTGAAGTTTTTAAGTATTTGAATTTATCGAACTTGAAAGTTTTTAAGTATTTGAATTTATCAAACTTGGAAGTATTTAAGTATTTCAATTATGTTGAGTTAATCGATCGACGGAATCGGCCAAGAGGGGGTGAATTGACAATTAAAATTTCGGTGGAAGCTTTTGCAGAAAATTGAAAAGATTTGCACAGCGATTTAGAGTGGTTCAACTTTCTCAAGTAAAGTCTACGTCCACTACCTTAGCTATCCACACTAAGGATTTTTCACAAATTCACTAATTTGTCTTTCTTTTGAAGACAAAGAATAACCTTACAAACCCTCAAGAATTATACCCCAAATTCTTGAGAAAACTCTCTCCCAAAGAGAACAATACAAATTTGCAAACTTACAAGGAAATCTTCACAAGGTAGATTGTTTGCACAATTCTAGAACAAAGAAAAGAACACTCAAAGATGAATACAATTGAGCACAATACGTGTTCTTGAAAGTAAAATGAATATTGAATGAAAATAGGCTTGAAATGCTCAAACTTGAGGTTTGATGCTTTCTCTTTGATTCTCTCTTGATTCTAGTTGCTTGATGTTTCTTGTCTTTGATCAATGGCTTCTAAGCTTGCTTAAATACACCTTGAATCACTTCTGAACGTTAGGGATAATTAATGAAGATAATATAGCAGTTTAAGTGTGAAAACATTTAATAAAAATGCTTGGAGCGTGGGGGAATCGGTACCCTCTCATAGGGAATCGGTTCCCTAAGTGTAAAATTCAAATATTTCGACCGTTGAATGGGGGAATCGGTTCCCCCAATGGGGGAATCGGTTCCCTCCGAGCATTCTGGAAATCTCGGAGTCAAACCATTCAGAGGGGAATCGATACCCCCTTGGGGGGAATCGGTTCCCTCTGAGCAATCTGAAATTTTTGGCTTTGAAATGGTTCGAAATACTTTGAAAGATTATTTTGAAATTGTTTTAAGATTAAAACTTAATTTTACACTTAAGTAAGGATTAAAAATGATTTTTGAAATATTTGGAGTAATGTTTTAATATTCGAATAATTATATCGAATATACTTAGAAAATCATTTGAAAAATCTTAAAATTCATTTAACTTAATTTGTTATATCGAAATATCAAAATATTTTCAACAAATTATCGTAAACTTTGTTGCAATTGATGACGATGTAATTTTAATAATATTAAAATCGGTTTTTTATAACCGGTTTTTTAAAAAAACCGGTTTTTTTAAAACCGAAACCGGTTATACCGGTTAAGATATCCGGCCCTCCAAACCGGTTAAAAACCGAACCGGTTATTTTATAAACCGGTTTTTTTTCTATGGGAAAAAACCGGATCGGATAAAAACCGATCCGGATCGGATAAAAACCGATCCGGATCGGATTGAAATCCGACTTCTGTGCAACCTTAGTCTGGGTAAGCAGTGATGAATCAGGCATGAAGAAGAATCAATTTCGAAACTGATTTTTCTATAAAGAGAATGTCTATTAAAACACCTAATCCTCATTTGTTTAAGCAACAAGGCAATCACAGAACGCCTCTACATTCTTCTTCATACTGGAAGAATACAAGTAAATTCCAAAAGCAACCTCAATCTTGCCTCACAAATGGTGAGGAGCTAACATCTGTGCTGTAAAATGAATCTTCTCCCCCATAGTAGTTGTCGTCTTTCTCGTCTTCCCACTTGAGAACCTCCCTTATGTATTTAAATGCTTCGTCGATCGTTACCCGATGGTCCCTTGCCCTAGCTTGCCATACAAAGAGTTTCTGTCCGGTAAGTGAAGCATACAGATCCTTGAACTTCATCGCGACGTAAAAGTACGCCTGTTGAGCCAGGGAGTGATGGTTATGGAGAGGCCTAACTGAACTGAAATCATTGAACCACTCACACGTGCTTAATGGCACCCGGTTGACTTTCTCCTCGAACAAATCATACTTATTTAGTATCAACACAAATGGGGTGTCCTTAAAACAAGGGTGCCTTATCATTGTTCCAAATAGCTCCTTTGCTTGCAACATCTTATTCTGAAGTAGCGTCCCACTGCCACTACTCTCTGGTGTTATCAATATCTGATCATAATCACTAAGGGACACGCAGAAGACTACCGAACGTACGTCTTCAAACATTTCCACCCACTTGCACCCCTCATTCATCCCCTTCGCATTTACCCTTATAAGTTGAAACCTGTAAAGTAAAAACATGACAAATTAGCCATATATGCAAAGAAGACCCAACATGACAATCCGTAACATGCACACCATTGACAAATGACAATAACTAACAAAAAGGTAGGAACAATTACTTGGTCAGGGGCAGGGATGGAGCTTCCAAATTGTCTGTGTAGGTTTCGGACATTGGACTACGATCGTCAAGTGAAAACTCTATCAAAGCCAAACCATTCCCTTGGGTAATCCCTTCAGCATAAAGGATATCACGATCAGAAGGTTCATACTCGTTGCTTGACACCTCAACAGCCTGAAGGAATCAAAAGTATATCGCATAGGTCAAGATATCGCAAGGGAATCAAACGTATAATACAGGCAATAAGCTCAACAGAAAATAAGATGGCACACCCTGCTTAAGAAGTACTCTGCGACTTCTGGAAGAAAGTGAAGCTCATCTTTTCTTTTATACGTTTGCTGTATAGCAGGATCTTTCCACAGCTCCTCAACTAATGGAGCATACTCACGTGTTGCTGCAGGGAAAAAAGCATCCAAATCTCCCGTGGCTATGATGTCCAGAAGCCAATCAGAAAAATGCTTTAGCCTTGGGTTAATCGAATATACACACTGGTCAGTTTCACCAGAGTCAACCTCCCCTCCTGAAATAATATTATAACTTAGTTTAGATGCTGGAAGAGTTGCGACGCTGTTAAACAATTTTTTTTGCTTTTGGCCAGCTGTGAGAGACCTATAAGCATCATCATGTAACAAAACTATATAAAACACTAGCAGAAAACAACTGCTAGATACACTTTTTTCGCTCCCCTTTCAGCCAATCAAGAAACAAAAAATGTAATATGCATATGGAAGAGATATATAGGTTATAAAACAAGTATACTAGGAAGTAAAAGGTGCTACTTTAAAGCTCAAAACTATGGTTAAAATCAGAAAAGCATTTGATGTAGAGAAATGTTACCTGCTTTAATGTTCTCGTCATCAGGACCTAGTTCTCTTATACAAGACATAGCTTCCTCCTCGAACCGCTCTCTTCCGTCCAGTAATATGCTCAGGTATCTGTACATATTGCTCTGAATCATCAACTTGAGATCCTGCAGTTCCTCTGTAGAAAACCCATTCCCATACAAAAATTTTGCCTGTTCAATATGAATGCTGAGCATTAGAAAATGGCATTCTAATAACTGAATTTTATCACTTGAGAGTCTCAAGTTGAGACTAAGGGAATTGCCCCACATCTTAATCATTCATACATCATAAGACAACTACTACTAGACCAAGAAAGCATGAAGGAAATGGAAATGCAGCCCACGCCAGTGAAAGCACTGTTGATCTATACGCAAAGAAACAGACATTCTTCATGTTCATGCAAGATATTCTGCCAACTTCCATCTAGGCAATAAATTTATGGCGTGATTTAGGTATCATCTTCAATGCAATTATGCAACTATGTCCATGCACGTGGCAGGGCAACACGCAACATGATAGCAAGAGAAAATAAAGCAACATGGAAAAGGCAAAACCTGCTTGAAAATGGTGCTTGTTCCAGAGCCTCGAAGTCCCAGTAGAAGAAGTTTTTGGGTCCTTTTCTGCTCTAGGTAATTTGGGACAGTAGAATAATTGCTAGCCTCCTCTCTTGCTCCTTGAGGTTGACCATGAAGCACAGGCAAAGAGAACAAGGTACAGATAAAACGAGTGGATGCCTGCATAGAAAAAACAAATCCAAATCACATCACATCTAGAATACCCATGAAGCTATTGAGGTCGTTGGTACTTTAATATACCTTCTCCCAGATGTTTCCTCTAATGTTATTTTGACCTTCTTCCTCATAACGACCATCATCATAAACCCAAAAGTGTGTGTCACGTGGACACTGTACATTTGCCAACTGAAAGCATCAAATGGATACATCAATGATTGGTTAAAGAATATCAAGGTATACATTAAATATAATATTATATTCCCATTCACATTTTAATCAGTTGTGGAGACTAAAAGTATATCAAAATGACATAAAGAGACGGTATAATAAAGAGATGTTAATTAATAAAGAATTTATTAAGAGGAATCTGTTACTTTTAACCAGTAATGAAAAAGAACCGACAAGGGAAGTTAAGTATGATATTGGAATAGTGGTAGACTAGACGGTACAATTAAAATGGGAAAATTACAATCTCTGTGTGTGTATAATAGAGAATATGATGCTAAAGCTCAAACAACTTTTACTTAAAACCTTGACATGTTACATTCTAAGTACATGTCTATAACCTAACAATATATGGCATACATCATAAAGACCTAAAATTATGTAACACAGAATATTTTAAAGCTCAAACAACTTTTACTTAAAACCTTGACATGTTACATTCTAAGTAGATGTCTATAGCCTAACATTATATGGCATACATCACAAAGACCTAAAATTATGTAACAGAGAGAATATTCTAAAGCTCAAACAACTTTTTCTTAAAACCTTGACATGTTTACATCCTAACATACGGCATATCTTATCATAAAGTCTGAAAATCAACGGTATATTGCAACTTCTAACGTCATTTGGTACAAGAAGCACCAATTTTACATTAATCTCAAACATCTGCTTGTTCAATGCCAAGACTAGGCAAGTAACCAGCAAGGTATAAACAGACTAAGTTCTGTGCTGAAAGCATGCTTAGGACACAATGGACCTAAAAGTGAACAACTGCTGCTCTTGAAGCAAAGACTTGAAGACAATCTTACAAAGCATGCAGTCAAACCCAGAGTAAAATTGCTGAATATCCAGATTTCACATATGCCCAAACCATTAATCCCAAAACAGATGTCTCCATGTGAAGTACAGAAAAGGTGAGAAAATTTGGTATCAAATGAAGTCTGAGATTGAGAATCCTAAAGCAGGAACTCAAACAGAAAAGAACACCATGATAAAGAACAACAAATAACAGTTAATGTATAACTATTATATGCTACCTTTAGCACCCTCAATTCAAGTTTCGTAATTTCCCGGCCATTGATATAGACTTCAGTATTACCATTGCTTGCGTCAGGATTAAGCTTCCCCGTGAAATTTAAGTTTGAACTAATTATCCGATCTGGTTTTTCTCCTTCCTGTCAATTCAATATGAAGTCGTGATAAAATCAAATCCCACACTGTAGATGTTTTCCCTTCTTGTTCAATTAGGAAAAGTCATGTGAAACATAAATAGCACATATCACAAGTATGAACTTACCTTTCCCCAGAGACCGGATTCCTTGTCATACCAATATCTACCAGGCTTCAACTTCCTCGGAGGTAAAGGGCATCCAAGTAATTCTTCCATCTCTTCTGGCTTCAATGGATATCCATTCACAATTAACTGCTCTGGCCGGAGCTGATTAGCAGCACATTCTTTCTCCGCTTTCATAATCTGCTTTACCTCCAAAGGACTAAGTAACCGTGACAAGAGCCTAGAATGTTTTCCTAGTCTTGACCGCTTTGATTCATCAATGGGCTGGCCAATGCATGTCACACATTTCCTTCCTTCAGGCATTGATCCCATCGCCCTAAGCACACAACTGCTGCAATACTTAGCATCACAAACAAGGCAAGATTCCTTTGTTTCCCATTTCCTCTTACCGCAACGGTAACAAATTCTTTTCTTCTTCTTTTCTTTTGATACACCAACAAATTCAGTGAAAACCGGCTTATCCATATCAACATCTTTCTTCTCTGACCTTTCAACAGTAGTAAATGTGACGACTGGCACTCTCCTTGCTTCATTAACAACTTGTCTCGGAGGATTGCGAACTGAACCAGGAGAAGCAGAAGGAGAAGCTGAAGAAAAATCAGGGTTTTGCAAGACAGATACTACTGACTCGGAGCTTGCTGAAACTCTTGGACTCTGTGTAGGCGGGCTTGTGACACCAGCAATATAAGATACTGGCAAGGGGATTGGTTCAATAACTTGACGGCCAGTATCTGCAACTGACCTTTGGGACTCTGATAGTGATTCTGCAGTAGAGATGGCATGTGAATTGACGTCAAGAGGCTCAACTCTAGGTAGCTCATAAGAAACCGGAGGGCCCTTATACTCCATAGCTATAGAGTAATCAAGCTCCTTTGAATCTTCAGGGAGAGATGCACCTGGTGGGAGCATTTTCCTGACCAATTCTTTCCAACTCTCACTTTCCTTTTGCTCCATCTTTTCCATTATAATACACAGAGCTATGTACCGTATCTGAGTCTCAAATTACAACTTCTCAAGAGCCACCCATATCAATCAAACTGTTAAAAGTCCATTTATGACATATGAGCTTTGATATCCTTGCAGCTTTTTTCAGAATAGATAACTTGCAAAACTAGAATCACCTCAAAATTAACTGGAAAGCAATCACCAGAACAGTGAATTCCTCGGCCCTTGGCGATACTTCCTTGCAATGAAACCAGATATAATCACAATTCACAAGGCAGCCATACCTCAACATACAAGTTGTCACCCCATGAGAAAGTCTTCAAGTTTGAAAGGACATACTGGAAAGATCAATCATTTAACCCAAATTAAAAGAAATAAAATTTAGACCAATTGTTCAATCGAGTATGGCAAATAAAATATGCCCAAATATAGCGGAAACACTCTTTTTTATAAGAATTGAAATAACTTGAACAATTGGCAGTGAGACAAAATAAAATAAAGGAAAATCTACCTTTTAGGTCCAAGAAAAGACTTTAACCCTATAATATCCTGAACTCATATAAGATCCAAATATTGTATATAAAAGTCAAATACTAAGAGAGATTCAAGTTAAAACATAAAAGCTTTATAACTTTTAAAAAAAAGATGGAATTTAGTTCTAGTCAAAACAATGGACATTTCAAGCTGAAAACAAATAATTCAATATAGGAGGTCTAGCAAGACTTTTCAGCTAAAACGGAAAAATAAAAACCAAAAATGAATCAGTCAACGGTCAAAAATGTTAGCAGCCATATGTTGGCTGATGAAGCTTAGATACACTGCAAAACGCACTCACATCCCATTCCAAAGTTGAAATATCTAAGTCTGTCAAACAAATTTATAATGTACAAGAAAAAACAAGAAAGAAAGAAAAAAAAACCCCAAGAGCCGGAAAAAAAAACCCAGACTGATTAAAACATATTATGCAACACAGAGAAAGGGATCGAAAACAAAAGGGATATGTTAAAATTCCCTTTTTTGAGCTAATCTTGCCACTTTCTAAAGTGACGGGAGATGAAGGCAAAGATGAAAAGAAAAACAGGAAAGTCAAAGAAAGAAAAGATACCTGTAAGAAAAAGACAAAATTGAAAGTAAATCTCAGAGAGGCTGATGAAGGATGGCTTCAAAAATCTATGAGAACGAAACTTGAGTAGTAGAAGAAGAAAACTACATAAAGTTCTTTACTTTCTGAGCTTCTTCGAATTACTTCAAGTTTTCTTTTTTCTGCTGTGAAGAACTGAAAAAGAAGAAAGAAATCCCAAATGGAAAAATCAAACAATTAGTGTGAGAGAATGATGATAATGATACGGTGAAAACTACAATAGAGAGGGGGGTCCATTTTCCTTTCTTGTTCCGTAGGATTATTATGAGTGAGCTTTTGTTTAAAGTTGGGTAAATTAGTTTTTTTTTATTTTCTAATAAGGTAATTTTAATAGTATTTCTTAAAATAATTTTCTAATAAGGTACTTTTAATAATATTTCTTAAAATAAATTTTCTGGATAATTTATTGGTTAAAATTTTCCTTAATCGGTGAGTGCTCGCGCGATGGGTGATCATCACGCTCAGGTTGTTAGCGCGTGTGACGAAATGATGGTCGAACCGCACGACTAATATATAGCAGTACTACTGTTTCTCCGCAGGCTGTTGTGTTACGCTCTTTTTAGGAAGTGTGAGACATACGCAATCTTGCTCTAGTTAAATCGTCTATTCAATTTCAATAATTAATTGATAATGCATGTAAGGAAAGTAAGTCATTAGGATGCGTTTGGTTCACGAATGTAAAATTATTTTTGGGAATAAGATTATCGGAATATAACATTACCTAACACATTACTGGAAATGTTATATTACTGTGTTTGGTTTGTTTGGCATGAATATAAGATTATAGTATTTTATTAAAAGAATAAAAAATTACTGGAATGTATATTTTATAAATTGTCCTTGTTTATGTTATAGTCTAACTCATAGGCATAAATTGATCTCACACATTCATAGTTTTGTACCAAAAGAAAGAAATAAACAAAATCAATGATTTTCACTGTTGTAAATTTATGCAATTGTAATTTATCGAAGATAAATATAGCAGATATTCTTTTTATTTTTATTTTTTACGTAAATCATGTATTTCGAGTTTTGATTAATTTAAGCATCTTCAACTAATAAGTGAAAATAATTCATCATTCAATATATGTTTAGAAAAATAGTAATACTTTCCTTGATTGATATGATCATTATTGAATGATTTAAACTTTATAAGAGTGATTATGTCAGATTTGCTGAATGCAAATATCAAATATACAAGCATATAAAACTAATTTACGCTAATGTTAATTCATTTTTATTTAAATATAACTACAGCCGGCAAAGCAACCTTGAACCCAAGAGTTAGTAAGTGTTGATTCGAGTTTGAGAAAATTTAAACTCGAGAAAAATTTAAATATGGGAAATTTAAATCTGATAAAATTCATTTTTATTTAGTTCTTGCTATACATCAGAATGAACAAATAGATGAAACCTCAGGTAGTGGCTCTTAACCTCTAAAGTGACAAGTTCGAATCAATATTCGAGGAACTTTTGCAGTTAAATGAGCAGTCTTTCGATTTTTTGAAACTAAACCCGAGAAATAAAACGAAATTTGAAACCTTATATGGCTCTAGCATTACAGTTCACAGTGGCGCCATTTCAATATATATAAGCTATGAACTGATAAAAGAACATTGCAAGAATATAACAAATGCATACCAGAGCCAGGAATGCGTTGTTCATCCCAACATAGTGGGGTACTAATAAAAGACACTAAATCTCACTACGTTGTAGAACTCGAGAACTTGAAGAAATGTACATGATTCGATCAGAGTAAATGATAATAACAAACTAAACATTCTAAATGACTAGTTATCGGCATAAATTATGCTTCCCTCTTCGTTATTACCCCTCTTTCGCATCTCGACGAATAAGACATGAACACAATAACTCTTCATTGAATTCAATATGATTATACCAACCAAGATGCAATGTATGGCAACTGAAGTTGGCTTGTCACCTGAGGAACTACATTACCTATATGATGTGATTAATACATGTTTCAATCACTAGCTATTTGATTCGGTTTTTCCATTCAATGAATGACGGATGTCGAGCTGATCAACAATCTCCAATGGAGACGTCGTGTCGTCCCTGATCCTCTTAATGTTGGGGCCTAACAATCCCCTATGTCTAAATCTGTAAAGCTTAAGCACCTGGTTATCGGCAAAATTGAAAGCCCTTTGCATGCTGTGCAGGCACCTGTCTACAGAGTAATCTCCGTAACTCCCACAACGCTTGCAGCCAGCGAAATGAGTCACAACTGGCCACCTCTCTTCTCCCAATCCCGGATGATATTTCTTCATCATCTTTTCGTACCTATCAACCAACCATGCCCAATAACCATGCAAATAATATTAATTTTCAATGAAAACTTTGTCCATCCATTGATCCTTTTGCGAAAGCAACAAGTAAATCAAAGTCGACTGATCATCGACTTCGAATGTCGGCCTCCCTTTCAAATTTGCAGTCAAAACCTTCTCGGCCTCATCACGAATTGGACCCTTAGGCCCCATCGGCTGCCACGCATCAAGCAAATCTAATGGCCACCGGCAATTTCTAAACATAAAACTCCCTGTATTCAATGCAATCCATGACTTCTGCTCAAACAGTAAATCGGGGTAGCCATGAATAGCCAAATTATGCTTATCGTACTTGGACAATGGAATCTCAAACACCATATCCGTAAAAAAAACATCACTATCCATCCACCAAATCCACTTGAGTTCAGTATGAGAAAACATTAACCTAATAATCAGTGGCAATTCCGCCCAATAACCGGCCAATTTATTATCTAAATGAGCCATGTTATAAATATTTTCAATCCCATGAAGCCTGCAATAATCAATCATATTCTTTATCGCCTTGAACAAATAATGGTCCCCGATAGGATTATCACAAGGTTTTGGGGGTGAACCAGTGACGAGCAACATTCGAGCTTTTCCATTAACAAAATTAGGGAATTCAGAAAGCCAAACCTTTCGCTGCTGATCCCAATCCTAAATTTAGGTCCGAGAGTGTATGTAACGTTAGGATTGAACTCAGGTTCATCCGGGTCGGTAGGGTCGGAGTAGGAGCGGATTTCAGCAAGGATCCGGTTGGTTTCTTCGATCAGGTTTTGGTTGATGGCTTGCGCTTCTGAGCTCTCCAAATTCACGACGCCGATTATGCCGTGCAAGACAAGGTTCGTAACCAAGCCGCAAAGAATTGTGATCTTCTGCCACCGGGAATTCGGGGAAATCCACGACGCATTCCGGGAAATCCACTTGTGCATCTGCCTCCCACGAGGCATTCCGGGAAATCCACGGTTCCTTCCGCCACCGGCGACATCGTAGTTATTTACAGGTAAACCTCCGCCGCCTCCAGTTGAATATCTCTTTTGGTGAGTGAAATTATCTCTCGCCAAATCGAAGAAGAAGACTTCTTCCCTTTGCATAAGCAAGCTTACGGAGAGAAGGCTATTTTAGACAACGATGATAGGAATAATTAAATACCTAAGGGAAGCAGGGGAATAGATATTCCCGGGAGAACGGTAAGAAAAACACTGTTGGTACTAATTTATTACTGGCACTTGGTAATTATATCCATCCAAATGTGGGTATATCTCTCAAGGAAAAAAACATTCCTCCTAGGAATAAATTATATCGTGAACCAAACAGGGCCTAGGAGTTGACCAAAACACTCATCTCATCTTTCTTCACTTTGGTTTTGGTCCACCAATTTCGCCTACCCCACTTATACAGTAAATGAGACGAGACAAATCGTAAGTTATTTAAGATTGACTTAATCAAAGTTCGATGAACATTCTAATCGAATCAACCCAACTCGAGCTCGAACTCGACTCAAATTTTTAACGAGCTAAAAATACATTATTGATAATTATAATTTTTTAAATATATTTTTAAATGTAATATAAGATTTTTGTAGCTTCAAATTCGAGTTTGATTTCGAGCTCAAAATCGAGTCTCGAGCTTCAATCGAGCTCTTGAAATTTTTTTTGAGTTCGAGCCTTTTCGAGTTCGAGTTGAGTTTAAATATTATATTTCGAGTTCGAGCTGAGTTGATAATTTTTACCTCACGAGTTTTCAAATCGAGTATAATTTTAAACTTTTCGAGTTCGAGTCGAGCTCAGCAATACTCGACTTCGACTCGACTCGTTTACAGCCATGTCCCCACTTCGTTAAAGGATCATATCTCTTATGTTTTGCGACGTTTTATTTCACTTATCACATATATATATTATCGGTTTCATCAAATGGTAACCAATAATTAATCTAATAGTAAAGGACTTGAGTTATTTAAATCTTCATTGATACTAACTAGGTTTTAGGTTCTTCAAACCTCAACAACCCCTTTCCATATCTGGAACAAAAGATGTAATATATTTAGTTATTTAATTTTAGTGTATGGTTTCAATTCAGATGTTTGCGCATAGAGAAAAATATCTGCGTACACCGATATAAATCTAACTGTTTATTTTATGTGAAATATTTTCCGTCGTAAGTAGAACATAAAATTTAATGATTAGATAATCAAATTCATTTTAAAAGAACGTAAAACTCGTTTAGTTTTACACTCCGCTCGCACATATTTTACTTTTAGTGAATAACTCATTCGAATATCGATATCCATTTATTCCGCTTTATATTTTTAAATGTAAATATTTTGTACCTACTAAATTTGAATTCGAACAATAATAAATGAACAGGTTTTGTTCAAGAGTATGAGAAGCATGAAATTCTCCCACTACTAAGTATGTTGATATCTTATTGTTTATCAGCAAAATAAGCAAAGTGAAGTCTAACCAATTGTGTAAAGGGTAACCTTCTTTTCTTATTTTATGGCACTTAAGGAACTTAAAATGTGTAAGAGTTGATTCTTCCAATGGGGAGGGTTTTGTCTTTTGATCATGTTCCCCAATTGAATCAATCTCCAAAAACACATTACAATTTCTCCGGCAAATCAATGTTTTCCATCAAATATTAAAATGACATTCCTAACTCATCAAATACGTAACAAGAAACAGAAAGCTCACTTGATATTGACCGAAGAAACCGCAGAAGTAATATCTCGGCATCGTGGATCGCCGCTTTCTAAGCAAACACCTCGAGGGTCTTCCCTAACTAACAAGGCCAGGATATTGTGTGAACTCCACGCATTTATCACG